TCACTGCCCTCCCAGGTCAGCGCAGCAGGTTGGCCATGGAGAATTCCAGGCGCGTTCTTGCGTTGCTTGCCATGAGTAAGGGTCAAACGCTTTGCAGCAGTTGCATTCCGCCAACAGCTGTTTGCTCTTAATCAAGCTGGCCCTTTGGCTCTGCGCCGGGGGCCCATGGATAAGGACGAGCTCAACACCATACTCACCGATGCTTGGGTGTTCGAGGGCCTCCGCGATTTGGTGCTGGCCAAGGGTTTTGACTGCCCCTCGGATTTCGCGTTTGCGTTGCCGGCCATTGCAGACTTGCAGCCTTTCATAGCCTCAGCATCCGCATTTTGGACTGCCAACCAGATTGATGACCCAAATCCAGTGTGGCTGCGGCTCGCCTTAGGAAAGCCTTGACGCTAGCGCTCAGCCTGGTAGTGCCTCCACGGCGCCCGCAGTGCAGCAAAACCAGTTCTTGTCCTGGGCCTAAACTGACGACAGAACGGGTCACTAGCCTTATTGGGAGCTGCTCGATGCGGACACCGCACCATCCATCCGCTTGCTCAGCCTGGTTCACGAAGGACTGAAACCCGGGCAGACCTTGAAATGGGTGCCCTGGCAATTTCGCCTTTCGGCTCGTCAGTGTCGGGAACGCATGGAAGCCAGGTCAGCAAAAGCTGTCAGATCCGAACTGCAGCTCTTGAGCCATGCCTTCTTTGACGACACCCCCGAGATAAACGTGGAGAACCACGCACTCTCCCCGGGTTGGCTTATGCGCATTCAAACGGTGTTTCGTAATGCACTCGTGCTGTGCCAAGCAGCGCACCTGTCGAATCTCAAAGCCTTCGATAAGAAGATAGCAGACCTCTGCCTTACGCAGCCGGACTCAACTGGGCCTCCGCGCAGTTACCGCAACAGAGCTCCTGTCCGCAGACAGAAAGCTCTGGTCCGCCTTGTCAGATTTGCTCACACAGCAGTGGAGCCTGGACGATGCCTTGTACGAGATGACGTACATGCGCAACGACATGCGTACAGCTGCGGTTTCAAGATAGCCAAGGCTCCCATCGCGCCGCCCCCTCGCCCTTCAGCGCCTCGGGACAGAGGCGCAAAGCGCGCCAGTGAGCCCGCACGGCCCTCGCGGCCCTCCCGGCCAGGCAAGAAGGGAAAAGGCAAGTCAAAAGGAGCCTCGCGAGCCTCCCCAACGCCAAAGCCCAAGGCCGATTGGTGCACGTCATTCAAGGGACGTGAGATATGCAATCGCTATCAAACCGACCTATGCGCCTCAGACTCATGTCAGTTCGCGCACGTGTGTGCCATCATGGATCCTGGGCCGGCACAGGGTCGGGCACAGCTGCCTCCGCCGGCACAGCCTTGCCTTGCGCGCACTCCACTGCCAGAGCCGCCTCAGCCATGTGCCGATCCAGCGCAGCCAGGCTGCGCCTCCCGCACTCCTCAGCACTCAGCGGAACTCCGGGAAAGGCGTATGCTGGATGTTTTTGCAGGCCGATTGCACCCGGTCACTACAGCAGCCGTGCGCCTGGGCTTTGATTGCTTCGAGCCTTTTGACCTGGACCGCAACCAGGCGCACTATATCCTCGACAACGCAGTTTTTGAAGCCCTGCTCAAGCTGTGTTGGTCGGGATTAATTGCCCTCATCATGCTGGCCCCGCCTTGCAAGGAGTACTCTAAAACTCAGACCCGGCGGCCCTCCGAACGCCGCAGCGCATGAACGGCGTGCCCGGCCTGTTGCCCTCACAGTTGAAGAAGCTACTCATGACAGGGGCAGCCTTGTTCATTGCAGTCGTCTCCAAAGAAGGCATCGGAATTTGGGAACAGCCGCCCTCTGCCATATGTCCTGGCTCGAAGAGGCGAACTTTCACATGCTCCGCGAGCATCAGTGTAGCCTTGTATGGGTCGACGCCTGTCAGCATGGAAAAACGTTTGCAAAATCATGGGCCTTTGGATGCAATAGCCCTCGCATCCAAGCCCTGGCAGCACGTTGCAGTCACACATATAAGCACACAAGCATTGCTGGAGTGGTCGAAAATGGAGTCTTTCTCAGCACTCTGACCGCTGAGTATCCAGAAGCACTGGCATGGCGGCAGTGGGCGCAGGAAGGGTTTCCAAAGCAGGGGTTGTGAAGCGTGCGCTGCAGCGCGCAGCCCAGTCTCGCGCCGTGCCGACTCCCTGTCTGCGACGGTGCAGGCATGCGTTCAACTGCAGACTGGGTTGGTGCCACGCATAATAGCACAACTCAGATTCACCCTTCACGGAGCAGGAATGCACCGAAGCCGTCCGCATTGCCTATGAAGCCCTCCACGTCCCAACGCCTTCCGATTTGAGTCCCTCAAACGGACAGCCTTACCGTCTGCACTGCGCCAACCAGACCTGGCTTTGCTGCCTTTTCTGCAAGAAGGCGTGCCTACAGGTGCCTTAGGCCCTATGCCATGTAGCAGGCAGTGGCCGGCGAAGCCTCCCAACGCCTCCGCACTGCCCGAGGTGTGCAAAGGCAACTGGAAAACAGCAGAAGAGGAGCCGGAAATCGTACAAAGAAATTTAGACAAAGAAATTTCTATTAATTGGGCCGTCGCCGCCGACTTGACAATCACAGAGGCGCAGCAAAAATGGCCTTTAGGTGTCGCGGTTGGCAAATTAAATGTGGTCTTCGCTGAAAAACAAAGAGCCTCGCTTGGTTCTTGATAGCACAGTGTGTCAGGTGAACACTAGATGTTACCTGCAAGAACGCCTTAGCCTTCCGATGGCTTCCGACCTGGCATTGGCCACCCAAGCGGGTGACACGCCAGGAGCTTTCCTGGGTGCCAGCATTGATTTCAAGGCCGCCCACAAACAAACCCAAGTTCGCCCAGACGCGCGCGGCCTTCTGCTGTTCGGGCGCCTTCCTGCTGCGCCAGGTCCACGGCCTGCTCGCGTGGCAGCCGCACAAGGCATTCCTGTTTGTGGATGATCTTCTATGCGCCCTGCTCCGTGCCCAAGCGCCAGAGATGTTCGCCCTGCTGGCTTTATTCTTCTGTGCTATAGCCGCGCCAATCTCCTGGAAAAAGGCACAGTTCCAAGATTGCCTTGTGTGGTGCGGTTGGGAGATTAACTTCGCCCACGATACCATCCAACTCATGCAGACCAAGCTGGTCAAGCTAGAGGAACTCATCGCGGCCCTCCTGGGCAAAAGAAAGGTCCTTCGCAAAACGCTGGAGCAATGCATTGGGTTGCTCATCTGGGCCACAAGCATAGCCGGTTCCAAAACTTTGGAGGTCGCAGGCAGCGCCGTGCGCTGCCTTGACGACATCCCACGCATTCCGGGCACCAGCAAGCCTACGTGGGACCCAACAACCCTTTCACCGCCCTCTCCAAAGCTAGCCAAGCTTGCTTGGAATGGCTGGGGTCGTGTCTCAAGCACTCTCCCGTACAGCCTTTGGCAAAGCAAGCCTTGGCAGCCGCAGATGCCTGCGCTGAAGAGGAAGTCGTGGGCATAGGTGGTTGGGCAGTCACATCCTCGCAAATGGTGTGGTTTGCAGAAACCTGGACTATGCAGGATGTCCGTCGAGTGTGGCCCTGCCTTGTCAAGCCTGCGCAGGCGGGCACTACTCTTTTAGCATGCTCTCAGGCACTGACAACTCGGCGGCAGAAGTGAGTGGGCAGACGATTTGAGCAGGAATCGCCTTGCGCGTTTCGCCCACCGCCCGGCCAATCGCGTGCGCTTCAGCCCTGCCAGCCTTGCGCAGGCTGGAAGGGGCATAAATTCTCTGTGTCTCTACAACGTCTCCGACAGCTCCGCCCGCCACTCACTTGTCTGTGCTCGGGGCGGGGGGCTCGGCGGGCCCCCGTGAGATCTGATCACGTCCCACTCATCCCACCGCCGTGCCACGTCTGATCAGCCTCCACACTCTGCCCCGCAGAGGCACCATGACGCCCAGAACATCTGGCTGCAGCCGCCGGGCATGTGTGACATATGGCTTGCTAGCCGTCCGGCTTCTGAAAGCTTGCGACAGCAGCGCGCGCTCGCCTTCTGCATTTCGCACTGCGGGGCTTTTCCGCAGCCAGAATACCTGGCTGCGACGGCCGAGTTTGCGCGCAAACTCCAAGCATCAGAAAATGAACTGATGAAAGTCGCTGCATTGAGGGGTCAGCAATGCCCTCGCATTGCCTGTCACTGTGCTTCGTCCCGCAGGTGCAACCCTGCACTGAAAAGGGGGGCTTTTGCGCCTGGGCCTTAATCGCCTGTTACCGGGGTTGCGTTGAGAAGCACTGAAGGAGGGGAACATCTCGCCCCTTGTCCTAGGGGCACCGCAGTGCCCTAGGAAAGTGCCACCTTCCCAAGCAACCCGGTAAAAAAGTGTGCGCCTTGCTGTCGGCTTTTGGGTTCTGGGTTCTTTGTGGTTTGAGGCTAGGAGCAGTGCGCGGGACCTTTAACGCCCCTGAGGTAACATACCTCGCAGGGGGTTGTTATCAGGCCCCGCATCAGATGCAGGAAAAGAGGCTGGACACGCGTTGTCAGCTTCCCTGCATCTTTGGGCCTGCACCTCTGAGCAACTCCATGGAAAAAATCGCCTTCACGGTCGCCTGGTTTTTTCCTGGCTGGTTCCCCTGCCTGTTATTGGCTTGAAGCAGTGAACAGGATTCTAACAAATTGGACTTGCCAAACGCGGGAAAGAAGGCAAATTGACCCTTTATATATATACATATATATATATATATGTGTATATATTTGAAGCCCAAACAAGGATTCTTTTGGGCGTTTGTTTCGGACCTGCAGGGATGAAGTTTCATTGCCACATTGGGTCTCCACATCAAATAGGAACACATGGGTAAAGGATGTGAAATTCACGCCTCATGCAGCTTTTTGGCTGATATCCAGGGTGGCGGAAACCACAACTGTTGCCGACGATCACAGATCTTCGCATGCGGCCATATTGATTTTGAATACCGCATCGTGAGTTGAGTGATGGAGGGCAGTGTTCAGGCACAAACAGTTTACCACGTGCATGACTATGTCAGTGTACGAGCAGGCTCGGGAGCACGCTTCGTCTGATGACGAAAACGAGGACTGGATTTGTGATGGGATCATTGGCGGTTTGGCAAGCCAGAGGGATAGTTCATGATGAACTAAATCTGGACGAGACATTGTGGAAACTCTTCATGCTTGAACACCTTGTGCAGGATCCTGATGCAGACCAAGCTTTGCGAAAGGCGGGTTCAGCTGTGACATGTATTTCTTCGCGCTTGGACAAATTGAGCCCAAACAGCGCAATGTCCCAAAGACACGGGCAAGGTTTTCGTTTTCTTGTTCTTCTTCAGTGCGCTGAGGTGCTTTTCGATGTGGGACCTGAAGCAGATCGAGCAGGTTGAGCCCCTACAAACAGTCAGAAGGGATCCCGCAGATGTTGGCCTAGCCAGTTCCGTTTCTTCGGCTCCGTTTCATGCGCCTAGGTCCTGTGAGTCCAACCCGGCGTCGACGGAGCCGGCAAGCTTCTCTAGGCCATGCAGTTCGTGTGGTGAAAAATGCGAGCTCGCTACGTTCAGGCGGCCATGGAACTGTGTGTGTTCCCATCAAAGCGGGCTTGACCGAGCAGCAGGCTGACCGAGCAGCAACATCTCTGGTAACACTTGCCACTTTGCCAGGTTCAAGGGCTTCGAGAGGTCTTCGGGCTATTTGATCCAGAAGCGCCCCTGGCCCAGTCAATCCGCGCGGTATCCCGCACGCGCGTGGAGGCGTGTCCCCCGCGCCGACCCGCCGAGGGACTTTGGCCGAGGTCCGGAGAGGTGCAGCCCGGCGACATCCGCCGGGCGGCCGAAGCGGCGGGCCTCCAAGAAGAGGCTCCTGAGGCCGCGACATGGACGAATCTGAGCCATGACGACAATGAATCCTTTTATTTATTGTTTTGTTTATTTATGTATTGTTATATTTATTCTTTCTTTTTGTTTGTTTGTTTGTTTGTTTGTTTGTTTGTTTGTTTGTTTGTGGGTGCAACTGCGTTCATTCGTAGCGGAGCCAGGCTTTGTAGCATATGACCAACCGGAACCTGTCGGCATGTTGTTGCTGTTGGCATCAGAGAGTGTAAGAGTCCCAAGGCCTGACGAATCGTGCACTGCTCCAGTGTCAATGTTTCTTTTTCATGTCAGCCTGGCTTGACCAGGTTTGGCGGCTGCTGGCCGGTTTGGAATGTCGCGACAGTGTGGATTTTGAGGATGGGTGTAAGGGTTTGTGAAGACATCATAGATGACAGCTTGCTGTGCTCTGCAGATTCAGTGGCCGTATTTGTTTGGTTTTGTCTCGCCGCCACATAAGATCTCTCACAAGAAAGGAACAAGACTTAAGCGAATTGAGGGAGCAGAGCCATGAGCTTTCCAACAGTTCGATTGCATCCGAGCCAAAGACCGATGGCGGACTCCGAGCCGCCGCGGCTGCCGGTGGTGCTGGGGTCCGGCCGGTGGTGCTGGGGTACCCTGAAAGCGAGGGACTTAGAGATTCCAAGGCGAACTGGCGCTGATGAAATAAGGAGGCGCGTGAGCTGAGCTTGCTTTTTGGCGCTGCAAAAGGCAAGTTCCTTTGCGAGAAAACAGGTGTCCTTGTGCACAAGTCATGACGATCTCCTGTGCAATGCAGGGAGAGGACAGAGAAGGCCAAGAAGCCTGACATCGAGGTCGGGAAATTGCTGAAGGGGAGTTGAATCTCTGCTGGTTGCCGAGGCCGGCGAGGCGGATGAGAGCAACATTCCCGTTGAAAGGCAAGCGACCAACCGCCGTGCTCAGAAGGGAGTAGCTCCTCGACGCATTCAGCTGGACTTGCTGACAGATGGGCTTCTTTGATCACGAAGGAGAGCTTTGCCTGCAGTTTCTACTTGCAATAGTAAATGTGGTGGCAGTCACAACTGGTTAATTCTATCAATGCTCCAGTCTTTTGCCAGGCATTTGTGCATATTTCTCCCTGTTCTCAAAATGAACAACCTCGCCACACGCACAGGAGGGCCTGCAAAGCTACTGCTTCTTTTTTTCTTCTTTTAGTGAGCTCAGCTGAGGTTTCAATAGCTTTGAACATGACTCGTGGAGGCATCCTCAAATGGTCGTCTTCAAGACTGGAGGAGAAAGGCTACGTGGTTGCAGAAAAAATGCCAGAATCAGAACCGGCCTCCATGGTGTAGCACTTCTTGCTTTGTCACTTTGCCCGTGGGGAGCAGGATATCATGCTCTGCAGGAGGATTGTGGAATGAGGTCAAGTGCTTTGCTGCAAGAATTGTGCAGCCCTTTCCACCAAGGTAACTTTTATGTGCAGGGCGGCCGTCACAATGTAGAGTCTTTAAATGAAAATTGGCTTGAAACTTGGCTGCGAAGACTTGGCGGGTTTATCGGTCTCAAGTTAGAGTGTGCAGAAGTCCTTCGTTTCCGTTTCGCATTCCTTGACGCCTAAGGACAAGGAGCTCCTTGATAAGCTGCTCAAGGTGAGGCTTTGGATTGCCACTGGATACACTGCATGCCTAGATGCTTTTCAAGTCTGAAGTGTGCTTGAAGGACATCAACCGTTTGGGAGACAATCTTCATTTGTTTGAAAGAGAGCCTTACGTGCTCTGCGAGAACGACGCTGGCTTAGAGTGACACGGGAAATGGAGGAAACGTTACTGTGCTGAGTCACCGTTATGTGCCAGACAAGTTTTCCGTGCCCTAAGCCAAGACAAGGAGAAGTACTGTGGTGTTGGCATCTCGCCTGCAGGTCAAGGCACATTAATCACAGGTCCCCAAGGCGGGCCAGACCAATTTTTCCTGACGCTTGAGGCTGCTTCGTTGTCACCTTGTGCCTCATTGCTGCAACTACTGTGTGCGCTCTAATGCAGCACGAGCAAGTTGCAGGGGCCCCAGCTGTGATTCAGCAATTGAGATTTTTAGGCCTTGCCCCGTAGGCCAGCCTCATGATCGCATCCGGGGTGATGGTCAGCATGACAACAATGTGCTGCTTTTGTTTGAACTTCAAGAGGCGAGGCCGCTTCGACTGTTGCAAGCAACAACTTTCGTGATGAAGCTGAGGCAGACTTGTGTGACAGAAGCTGAAATGAAGCAGGGTTCCAGCTGGCAAGACGTCTCCTTAAAGAATGCTTGTTGTTGAACATGACGTTTTGGACAGACCAATTCGTTTGGGATGCTTAGGCTCAACAATCGATCAAGAAACATGAAGGGGGTGACGGGCTCCGCGGCTGGAGAGTTGCACACGCCGCTTTTAACTTCGAAGATGTTTGGATTCTTGCCGAGTTTCACCTTAATGTCACGTGTTAGAATGTACCGACAACGGCACTAACGGAGGGGAGGAGGAGCCACTTGTGTTTCTCTGTTGCTCCCCTGCTGCAATTGTAGGCATGCTTGTACTTTATCATTCGTCCTTGGGATTTGTGTGCTTTGGCCTCTCCAGCAATTCGATGCTTTCGTGCACCAGCTTTCACGCGGTGCCGCTCCAATTCCAACCCAGAGCAAACTAAGCTGACACAACCTTCCAAACGAACCCAGCCTAGTCCAACCCTAAATCCACCAGTCTCATCTACACGTTTCAAATTTTGTCGAGCGAGCTGCTCAAAACACTTGACATGCAGTTGAACGCCCCAAAGAGGCTCGCATGCCAGACTTTCCCTGTTCTCGTCCTGCAATTTTCTTAGCAGCAATAAGAAAAGCAGCCACAAAGCAACAAACAAGCCGGTCCAGGCGGAAAAGACATATAATATATAAGATATATAGGGGTATATATATATATATATATAGGGAAAACGGTCTATGCCAAATCGTTTCTACTGCTGCCGTTTCTAAAACTTGCGGTAAACAAAACATCTGCGACCGCAGGAAGCGCATTGTGGACTGGGAGGCGGACGTCAAACGCTCTCCGCGTTTGAGCTGTGGAATTTCCGTCGCCTCAATGAATAGTCATGGTTGTGGACAGAGGAATCATGGAAGTAGACAGAGGGGTTCCCAAAAACAAATGTTCGTCTTCCAAAACCCGCCGAATCGTCAGCTTCAATTGGAGGGAGGGCAAATGAGCGTTTGAAGCCTGGCTTCAGCAAACCTCGGTTCCGAGTGAATGATTCAGGTGCCACACGACCAGCTTCATCGTTTCGCGGCCAAATGGACCAAGAAGCGACGTGGATGCATTTGAGGGGGTTCTAAGATTTTTTCATGAGCCCAGTTCTAAGTTTTACCTGAGAGGGCCGCTTAAGGACAAGCCGGAGCCAGTTCTTGTCAAGTTTCACACGCAAGCAACTTGCTCCCGCTGAGGCATGGCGCTCTGCTTCGCTTCCATTTCATGGAGAAAGGGCCAAGTTTCTTCATCCTTACGCCTCCAGAGGCAAGAGCTGTAACTGGGTCATCGGGTACGTGATAAGCATGCCAACAGAGCAGATGTGATCACTAAGCAAAAGCTGTGCATCTCATAGACAGCATGGAACACTTGCAATCCTGGAACATCATTCGCCTATCTTCATAGGTTATTTGACTGATCACCAGTATCACCCCTTCCCACTGACTGAACACGAGCCACTCAGAATACAGGTAAAACTAGCAAAGCTTGCGGAATCAACCAACCTTGAGTAAGATCCAGAACACACTATCCATCAATGCGTTCATGTATCGATCCGTACATCTATCCATCCGCACATACACACTCTCATCCGTACTTACGAAGATATCACACTCGAGCACTTAAACACACTTACATACACACAAACACACGCTTACATGTATTGTTGCACAATAAATATATACATATACATGTATATATATATATATACACATCGGTATAGTATCGTTAAGAGTTGAACGCAGCACGAACTGCACGTTGGAACCTCCCATCTTTGCCCGGGTGTGCTTACCATTTGGCTGGCATGAATACAGTGCTGAGCGGGATGGATACAGTGCTGAGAGGGTGCTCTTGAGCTGCTGTGCTTGCTATTCCCAGGCATGGATACAGTGCTGAGCGGGTGCACTTGAGCGGGCGTGCTTACTGAGAGGGTGACTCTTGAGCTGGTGTGCTTACCATTCCCAGGCCTGGAGACAGCGCTGAGCGGGTGCACTTGAGCGGGTGTGCTTACCACTTGCTTGGGAAACGAATGCAAACATCCCCCCCCCCCCCCCCCGCGCCCGGAAAGACGCAGGGCCGACCCGGGGCAGCAGCCTGTTTGCCTCGGGAAACAAACGCAAACATCCCCCCCCCACCCCACCCCCCCGGAAAGCGTATGGTGGAGCCCAATCAACTCTTAACGATACTATATATACACATACGTATACACATGCAGACATACATACAGATGTGAGAAGGTACGTACGTACGTACGCGCGCGCTCACGCACACGCACACACACACACACACACGCGCACACAGACACACACGCGCGCACGCACATAGATAGATAGATAGACAGATAGATAGATAGATAGATACGTTACGTTACATGACATGACATGACATGACATGACATGACATGACATGACATACATACATATGCACACACACGCACGCACACTCACTTCAACTTAAACCGACGCACAAACACACCCAGAGAATCACAAGCACAAGCACAAACACAAACAGAAGCAGACACATTGACGGAAACACCAGCACAAACAGAAACAGAAACACAAACTCACAAACACAAACACAAACACAAACACCCAAACACAAACACACACACACAGAGACATACACATACACAAACACAAACACGAACACACACACACACACACAAGAACACAAACACACACAGACACAGACACACGCACACACAAACACAAACACGCGAACACAAACACACAACAACAAGACACAAACACAAACACAAGCAAAAACAGAAACAGAACACACAAGCACGAACACAAACACAAACACAAACACAAGCACCAACACAAACACACATACACAAACGCACACCCATACACACGCATACACACACATACAAACACACACCCACACACACAAACACACAGACACACAGACACACACAGAAGCACAAACACACAATCACACAAACACACAAACACAAGCAGCAACACAAACACACATACACAAACGCACACCCATACACAAGCATACACACACATACAAACACAAACCCACACACACAAACACACAGACACACAGACACACACAGAAGCACAAACACACAATCACACAAACACACAAACACAAACACAAAAACAGAAACACAAACACACAAAGGCGGACACACTCACACAAACACGAACACAGCACGTGCACAACAACAAAGCAAACACACACACACACACATGCAATCACACACACACATGCGACCACACACACACACACACACATTTTGAGTACACATGCATGGCTAGACGTAAGCAGTTATATATGCGCATACTATGCTAGCAGTCACGTTGTGCTTGATGAAAACTTGCACTTGAAAGCTGCAGGCGGGCACCAGTGGTGCTGCTTAGAGTCAGATTCCTTGGTCGTTCATCGCAGGCCGTGTCTCGCCATATGTGACCTGCGTGTGTCTTTTGCTTTCAGGATCCTTTGGCCCAATCTCGGAGCTACCTGCACGATGCATGCATTTTGGATAGGTCTGTGGTCTTTCCTTGTTTAGAGCTTACCAAGGGCACAAGTCCGGCTTTCTTTAACCCACCAAAGAGTGAGGTGCGCTGTATACAGACCACACTGAGAGTTCACCTGTGTGACAGCCCAAAGGACTGTTCACAGCTGGCAAGATTAATCAAGCCTCGGCCGGCAAAGAGAATATCATTTGATTCACAAACAGCGGTATGAAGCAGATATGGGTGAGGACTTTGTCGGGCTTCTCACTGAGCCATTGGGTGATCATTTCAGTAAAGCTGGAACGCCTGAGCCTTTTCTCTAGGCAGCCGTCCTGTGACCAACATCGTGCGAAGGTCACGGCTGCTGAACCTCTTTGGGCAAGAGGCAGTGAATGCAGGTGGGGCAAGCTTGTGATTATGTGCCCGAGAGTCAGCTGCATGCACGCAGACTCTGTGACTCTGGCCGACCTCCGACGCCTCGTCGTATTTCTGGCACGTTTGAGCTTGCATCAGCCGGTGAATACAGTGCTGCCATTACAAAGTCTAGTGTCACATTGGGGTTGGTGTGGTGAGCTTGCTCAGTTTCTCGCTTGTGCCACAGTACCACCTTTTGCCCAGGACGAGCTGGGGATTGAAATGGAGGATGACGAGCTTGAAGCAATGCTCGAGAAGGTCCGGACAATTCACCGTAGCCAGTCATCGTGCATCGGGCGCAAGGCTGGAGCTGATGCTGCGGGCCGCTTGGGCATGGATGCTTTCTACAACGTCATGCGTCACGAAATGCCAACCTGAGACGAAAAAGTGTGCGAGAAGCCTGAGACGAAATGCCAATGGCGGTGGGGCAAGGTTGTTTGCGAGGGGCGATCAACGGTAGCTCGCCAGCTTTGGCTCATGGAGCCCAGTGCTTAGATGTCCACACTCGGCCATGGCAATGTGATTTTCCCGAGACTTGCGGAGCCCAGGAGCCACCACGGTGGTCAAGGAGTTCTCGAAACTCCACATAGCTTAAGTGCGGAGTGACAGACTCAAACCACAGAAATTCGGAAGGCGACTTTCATCTCGAGGCGCAGACTCTGGTGTGCAGGGCTGGTGTGCAGGGCTGGTGTGCAGGGCTGGTGTGCGGGTTACTTGCTGGTGTGCAGGGCTCATGGAGCAGGCGCTGCGGGCTCTGCGGCAGCTGTCGGCCGGGCTCACCACGGAGGCTGCGGTGTGGAAGGCAGCGGCGCTGGTTCCAGCCGACGCCCCGGATGCCGACGCCGGCGCCGACGGCGAGCGGGGCGAGCTCTACACCTGGGGCCGGGCCACCAACTATCAGCTGGGCTACGGCGCCAAGAATGAGCAGCAGATCCCCAGGTTGGTGCAGGTCCCTTTAGGGAAGCAAGTGACGCCGGGGGCTGAGCTAAGCCCATCGAGTGCATGCCATTCACACCCCCGAGTTCCTCCTCCTAGATAACACCAGCAACAGACAAACCTACTTTAGAGAACAAACACGCCAAAAAGAACAATCAACAGACAAACCGATGTTTTTTTTTGTTTCGTCGTTTGGCGCTTCATTTTCGCCCGTCTTTTGGCGCGCCAAGAATCCCGAGGTTTTTGGCCTGCGGGCGGTTCCACAGCGTGGCGGCGACCTCCTGCGGCTGCGTGCTGTCCTGGGGCTTCTCAGGCGCCTCCGGGCGCCTGGGCCTCGACTCGGACGCCGGGGTGGCGCCCCAGGCGAGCTCGTCGAACCACATGTGTCCTGGCGTCCCCTGCATACGGCGAAAAAGACGTGTTTTTAGAGGAGACGGGTAAAAACACAGAAAGCAAGACAACAGACCAGAGCAAAACAACACACAAAATAGAGACACACACACACACACACGCGGGAGTGAGACTCTGATCCTTGAAGCTGTGAAGTGTCCTCTCACCAATTCACATGGAAGGAGCCGTGCGACGGGTCCAGGTTTGCGTTCTGCTTAGACCTGTTCGGAACGTCGCCCGGTTCCATGTGGTTGGGCTCTGGCCAAAGTCGGCAGGCGCTGCCTCAGTTTGGGCCTGGCCGGCACCAGGCCGTGAAGGTGGCCGCAGGTGTAAACCACACGCTGGCGACGCCCGGCGCGGGTCACGTTGGGGGCCGAAGAGACGGTCCGGCGATCCCATGGAGTCTAAAACGTGTCGATCACCGGGTGTTTTGGGTATGAGTGTCAAAGGATCACACCAGGTTTTGGGTATGAGTGTCAAAGATTGCTGGATGTGGGGTATCAGTAAACATGACGCCAGCTTAGATGTGGTAATTACTGGGCAAAATGTGGCGTCGGTAAAGCAGGGGACCGTTCCACGGCAAAGTATGGCGACCAGTTATAGCAAAAGGATTTGACATCATGAATCTATTCCACTCGAGCAGACAATGATGGTGTCCGTAACACGCTACTTCTTGCGGTCCTCTTGGTGTTGCAATTTGCCAGCGGACAAATACAACTCCGGCTCGTGTCTCCTGGGGCCAACGCTTACGTCCTTTGAAGTAACGTACAATGTGTGTGTGTGTGTGTCACTGTGTATCATTGATGATTTCAGAAATCCTGCTGTGCTTGACAGCTTTGAGTCTTTTGCAGCTTGGCCACTTGAAGGCGGCTTGCTCTATGCATCTATCGCTTTTTATCACGTCACATGGGGCGTGCCCAGGATGACGTCTGCCGGGAAATTGCTTGTGTGGGGCTCCAACGAGAAGGGCCAAGTCGGCCTACCGGGGGAAAGCGTGGTGCAGCCAGTCGTATTGAAGGCGGGGAACCAGACGAGTGAGACCCAGGTGTTTCCTAGACTTTGCCCAGTCGTGAGTCAATCTGCGTTTGTAAGGTGTGAAGGTCCTCAAAAAGAGGGATTCTCAGCCTCATTTGGATTCGCAGGCAGCGGCTTTGCAGAAGCAGCGCGTAATCGACATTGCCGCGGGGGCCACACACTCACTTTGCATAGCAGGGGAGAGTGGACTCGTTTTCGCGTGGGGCTGCAATGCGAACGGTGCACTTGGCTTGGGATCACCACCAACTGGACCCACGAGTGCCTCTCAGCCTCAAGGGCTACCCCACCTCAAGTCTGCCACCTCACTTGCAGCAAATCCATGCGGAAGTATCAGCGTATGCCTTGTCAGCACCCATGGAGATGCGCTGATGTTCGGGGGCTCGCCGGTGGCCAGCACCGCGGCAGACATCCGCTCCTTGGATCCCCGCTTCTTCGTGCCCGGCCGGATTCGGCGCAAGGAGCCTGACCCTTTTGAGAGTCAGGATCGGGACTGGCAGGTCCAGCGGGGAGGCTTGGCGCCATTGCAGCGGGTGACGGTGAGCGACTCGGAAGCCTTCGGCATCGACACCGAGGGAGCTGTCTGGGTCTGGGCAACAGCCCTGCGCCCGGCAGTGGCGGAGCTGGTGCCGGTGAGCTTGAAGCGGGCTGTGCGAGCAAGGCTGCCGAGCAACGAGCTGGGCTTGGATGGTGAGTTTGTCCTCGTGGACGGCGAGATGTCGCAAGAGTTGACAGAATCGTCCAGTGTTCCTCCTTCCCCTCTGATGCCTTCAGCTGGCTATGATGATGTTGAGAAGGTCGGGATCTCTGAACTGGGATTCTCCTTCAAAGCTGGGGCTGCCTGGGCAGTGGATGATTCGGAGGCCGGCCATCTCTGGCGGTTGAAGCGACCCAAAGCCAAGGGCTGGTGGGCTGCTGAACGCTACGAGTACCTGGCGCAGGTCTCCTGTTTCGCTTGCGGCCCAGAGCACCAGGCAGCTGTGACAAGCTTCACTGCCCCGCCACTTCCTGCGCGAGAGCCGAGCCACGGCGAGAGGGTGCCGTCGCTACAGAAGCTCTGTGAGGACAAGCTCTGTGCCAAGCTGACCCCCCGCTCCTTCGGTCTCCTCTGCGACATTAGCTGGGAGCTGAACCGTCCTGGCCTTCTGGACCAGGCCTTCCGCTTCCTCTGCGCCAACGCGCCGCTGATGTTCTCCAAGCTGCATTTGCCAACGCTGAGCCAGCTCCCGGTGGAGGTCTTGGCGGCGTTTGAGGTGGCGGCAAAAGCCAAGAACGCCGCCGGCCTGGGCCCGGCAATGGCAAGCCTCCAGCTGGAGCCGCTGCCGGAGAATCTTATCGACACCGAAGCCGACGCTGCAGGCACTGCGGGCGCTCCCTTTGGCCTGGACGATTTTGAGGACTCCCTGTCAGAGACGGTGAGAATCTGCGAGTCCGGGCAGTGGGCTGGTGCTGCCTCTCAGGCGCTGTCGTTGCTGGCTGTGTGTTTACCTGGCACCGCTGCAGGGGAGGGTCCTACGGCCGAGCGTTTGGGCTTGACCTTCCCAGAGAAAGACGAGCCAAAGGAGCTCAAAGAGAAGGAGAGCAAGCGCCGGCCGGTGAACTCTCCCGCTATGATCCCCAAGGCTTCGCCTGCAATGTCTTTCAAGGCTTCGCCCGCAATGTCCTTCAAGGCATCGCCCAAGTCGGGTGTGGCCTCCCCATCTTTGCAGCCGGAAATTGAGGCGCAGGATTGGACGGAGGTGAGGAATAGGCCTCGGAAAAGTTCCGACTCGCTTGTCTCGCAGGCAAGCCCGAAGCTCAAAGCTGACGAGCCTGTTGCCTTCAGTCCAAAGGGCAGTAAGAAAGGAGACAGAGACAGCAGCAAAGGGCAAGGCAAGACATTGGCATCTGTGGATGAGAATACATCGGCGCGGCACTTGAGGCTGGCTGATTTCCTTCAGCCGGCTTTCAAAGGCAAGGGCAAGAGCCAAGCCTCCCGATCCAAACTGGATGGCCCATCCGGCGCGTCCGGGCCATCTGCCGTTCTCGTGTCTGCAGTGGAGTCCGCCGGCAAGGCCGGCGCGCGCGCCTGGGCGGTGCCGGACATCGACCGCATTCCGCTGGACTTGGGCGACAAGCCGCGACCCAAAGCGGCAGACGGGCACAAGGCGAGGGATGGTCAAAATGCTTCTGGCTATGGGTTAAAACCCCGGTGCCCCGGTGAACACCCAGAAAGCCTTCTAAAAAGACAACAGTGGAGTGGTAACCATCCCCAAAAAGGCACCTTAGGTCTTGAGCCACAACCAGCTTCTTTCCACGGACCCTCAGTCTGACTCTGAACCCCCCGCCGCACGAAAGGACGTAGGACCTTCGGGACAGTAAGTCTTCTCCACACCCTTGATAAACCTTTTGTCATATTTTGATGACCCAGAAAGGGTGGTTTGCCCATTTCGTGTTCTGAAGCGCACCCTGAACAAAGGACCCCCCCGCATCCCCCCCTCCCCCCTTTATGGGCGATAATTTTTTGACACAGGTGATCACTTGCTCCTGGGGCCGGGACGCGCTGCCCTCGGAGCAGTCCAAGAATCTCCCCATGGCGGAGATCCAACGCCAGGAGGAGCTGCTGAGGCGCTTGGCTGCTCTTGGGTGGGATCTTTAGACTTGATTTTTTTGATTGAAATCCTTTGGTTTTTTCCACTCAAGCCACAAAAAGTCAAACTATGTCTTTTTCCACAGCCACAAGAAGTGAAGAACTTTTTGCAGAGGGGCCGGATCCAGCAACCAAGAAGGCAGCAGGACGAGATCCTGGAGATCGAGGCCATGTTCGCCGCTTTGGAGGCTCCGCGCGTCCACGTCACAGACACGAGAAGGGGAAAACGGGAGGGGCGTGTAGGGCGAAGCCTTCATGGGCTTCACGGACACGTATGGAAAAGGGGAGTTTCAGGTTATGGCACTTAAAAGGGGCATTGTACATCAGGTAAGTGGCAACCATGGTTGTAACCGACAAAAGCCATGGCTATAAGTCTCCGTTCATTGGGTTATAACCATGGTTATTGCCCACTTACTAAGCACCCTGCCCCTTTTTAAGTAAGTGGGGGTCAACAGTCTGGGCAAATATGGCCGTGCTTCAAAACCAATGATACCATTTTGGGATAGGTGCACCCCCCATTTTAGAACCACTCTTTTAGTGGTTGGATTGGGATGTTCACTGGGGGTACGGGCTTTGGATTTTGACCCATGGCCATATATTCTATTTGCTTTTGTCTCGAGCCAGGTGGCGGAGATCGAGGAGGCCATGGAGCAGTCCAAGGATGATGAAGGGATGACGCCTGGGGCGACTGGGAAAGAGACTGGCAAGGAAACTGGGAAGGAGAAGGAGAGCAAGGGTGGTACTAGTAAGAAGGCTCAGGCCAAAGCAGCCAAAGCCAAGCCAAAGGAGGACTGGAAGAGCCACCGCCGAGACTGGTGGTCCCAAGGCTGGTCAGACTGGAATTCTGGATGGTGGGAGTCAGGCAAGACTGTGCACTGGCAGAAGCGACAGAGCGGCGGAGAACCTGAGAGAGATGCATGAGCAAGCCGAAGGTGGCCCCACGCTCAGCGCAAAACTTACCAACAGCCGGAAGCCAACCCATGTCTGGTGAAAAGTAAGGTACCTCAGACCAAAATGCTGCATAGTCAAGGACCATGTCAATCTCAATTAGTTAAAAGCGCAGGCTTGAGCTGCGCCTGGCCATGCTGCGTTTCATTTTTGAAAGCTGCTCAGAGCATCCAGTGCTGATTGAAACCAACCTGCAGCCAAGCGTGGCTCTAGCTGCATGGTTCCGACATCGCCCTCGGTCACTGCATCATGTCTTGCGACATCACAGGGTCCTTGCCTTACATTGCGACCTCGGGCACGGAATTCGGGTCCAGCAGCCCAGGCACTCGAGATGAGGTGGGGCCGCGGGTCGGCAAACCTGACAAAAGTCTTCCAAGCCGAGTATCGACATCGAACGCGCCCACTCGCTTCCGCGGTCACACGGGTTTTTCTTCTTGTCCAGGGTGCCCCTGGAGTGTGGCTTTGATTGGACAACCAGAAGGAAACCCACCTTTTTTTTGGGGGGGGAGGCCCATCTTTGAGAAGAGAGCCGGCGACACACCCTTCTTGTTCAATCTTGGGAAGGATCGCGCCGCACGGTGCGCTGAGAGCCGAGAGGCGGGATGGTCTCGGAGCTCGAGGGCGTGGGATCTCTTTGGAATGCTTGCCAGAGCACAGGCAAAGTGGAGTGATTTTCAAGTTCTTGCAGGCAACGCCCCTGCATGGTTTGTTTGCATGTCTCGGAGTTTGCGTTCAGTTCAATGGAACTTTGTGCACGCCATGTCTGTGAGACAGAATAAAACAGGTAATTATGTGGTATGCGGTGAAAAAGACCAGGCGAAGCTCGGAATTCTCGCTCGGCAAAACGCTAGCCCCCCCATAAGAAGAATATCCGCCCTGGAAGACTTTTGGCTGAACAGCGAACTCTGACCGCGCTCACATCAGGTTCAGTCAGCACAAGCCTGCACTTTTAACTAACTCAGCCGAGCCCGAAACTAGCCATGGCAGATGGCTACACTACAGTCGGAAAGCATCCTGGCAATGAGTCTTCTAATTGGAGGGGTATTTATTTTAGGTTTTTTTTTTTTTCTCTTTTGGCTTCTTGGCTTCTTGGCTTTTGGCTTCTTGGCTTCTTGGCTTTTCGGCTTCTTGGCTTTTCGGCTTCTTGGCTTCTTGGCTTTTTGGCTTTTTGGCTTCTTGGCTTCTTGGCTTTTTGGCTTCTCGGCTTCTGGGCTTCTCGGCTTTTTGTTGGTTTTTTGGCTTTGGCTTTTCGCATCCTCTGCATTCCCAGTTCCTCTTCGGCAGGTGGCGGTTTGGCTTTTCGCATCCTCTGCTTTCACAGTTCCTCTTTGAGCTTTTTGGCTTTTGCACCCTTTCATTGGTTTTTGGATTTGGCTTCCCGCATCATCAGCATCATTTGAATCATCACTTCTTCGAACATCATGGGGGGGGCTTCCCCCCCAACCAACCCGCTACTGTTTAGATTGTTTGCAGAGTAATTGCACCCTCTTGAAACATCATGGGGGGGCTGCCGCCCCCCCCAACCCCCCCGCTACTTTTTAGATTTCTTGCAGAGATTGAATTGCACCCCTATTTGAATCATCACTTTTTCGAGCGTCCAATTTCGCGAGAAAATGCTGCGAAAAGCGATATTTTAGGTAATCTGTGTAATCCATGTATGTCTGTATGTATGCACTTCTTCGAACATCATAGGGGAAGCCACCCCCGCCAACCTCCTGCTGCCTTTTACATTCTATCGCACCCGTTCTTGAATCATTGCACCCCTATTTGAATCATCACTTCTTCGAACATCATGGGGGTGGCTGCCGCCCCCCCCCAACCCCGCCCCCGCTACGTTTTGGATTTTCTACAGAGAGTTAATTGCACCCCTATTTGAATCATCACTTCTTCGAACATCATGGGGGGGGGCTGCCGTTCCCCCCCAACCCCCCCGCTACATTTTTTAGACTTTTTGCAGACCTATTCGACTCATCACTTCTGCGAACATCATGGAGGGGGGCTGCCGCCCCTCCCCAACCCCCCCGTTTTTTGTGTTTTTTTTTTAGCAGGGATTGAAATGCCCTCCTATTTGAATCATCATTTTTTGACCCCGTCAACCCGCCAGCTACTTGTTCGATTTGATACCCACGATTTGTTGGTGATGTTAGGGATGTTGGTCGGACATGCGGGGGATGTTGAAACGAGGATGGGGATGTTGACGGGCTAGTGTAAAATGCATCAATTTCGCGAGAACATGCTGTAAAATACGACATTTTACTGGCCCGGACGGCCGGGAAAAAAAAAAAAAACAATCCGGGGAAACAACACACACATCCCAAAATAAATCCGCACCTCTTGTGAAGCATCTAGAGGCGTCTGCAGCACTAAGGATGTGGCACCCATCGCTGTACATTGGCTCCATCATTGACAAGCACGATGATCGCGTAGCCATACTCCCCCCGAGGATAAAGCCGCTTGGACGCTTGTGTCTATCAGAGGCCAAGAACCTACAGATCCAGCGTGTATGTCATGCAGCTGAGGGAGTCCATGCCCTCTCCTGAACCCAAGCCGGGGGAGGCTGGCTGGCTCTATCGGGTCCTGGAGCCTTACTACTCTCGGGAATGCGCCCTGGCCAGCAAGCGAGGCTTGTCCTTTGCAGTCAGAGCTCTGGTTTTCCCGCACTCCTTGGATTGGCCAACGGTGGTATACACCTTGGCGTTCCTTTCGCCGCCGCGCGCGTCCTCGCGCTGAGTTTCGCCACGCCGCTTGCGCAGGCGTGGACAACGTCATGGCCGCCATGCTCGAGGGTCAGATCTCCTCTGGCGCCTCGTGGCCACGGAAGCTGGCGGCGGAGGTCTGCAGCCTCTACCAGGCGAGTCCAACCCCGGGGCAAAGCGCGCGACGCCGGGGCTCCGAGATTGGAGATGTGTTGCGAGCATGCGTAACCACTGACAAACATCTCTTGCAAGTTCTGACCATGGCACAAAAGCCAGCGGTCTAACAACGACTTTCAATTGTTCGCTTTGCAAAATGCCATCAACACTGAGAGTTGCGACCTCGGCCAAAGAAGCTGAAGGCTCTTTCCCAGCTGCTGTTGCGCATGATTCTCCAACCAGCTCCAGAAAACGCCACCATCCCATTGGCGCACGTTGCCATGCGCGGCATTCCTTGAACAATTCTTTGATTCTACTGAGGATCTTTGCGAACTCCATTTCGCACCAAACAAGAAGCCCTGGTTTCTGATTTGGGTGTGGCTCAAAATTAAACAGGAGGGGTTACGCAAGAATTGGTCCATGTTTCCACTTACCAGGGAGTTTACCAGGGTTCCATTTTGGTACCGTTTTTTTTAGCCACAGCCACGTGACTCCCCTTAAATAACAATGGTTTCAGCAGGTGCCTGTGGCGCTCCCCACCTCCTCCGGAGCCTCGGCGCTGCATGTGGCGTTGCTGGCCTGCAACCTGGGCCCACATGACCGGCACGGGGATGCGCGAAGTGGGGGGGGGGGGGATGCGCTGAGTCTGGGAGGCTCCGAGCCATTCGGTTCCTTGGCTTTTTAGCTGTTTAGGGTTTAGTGGCAGTTTCCATTAAATCCACTAAAGGTTAAACTTTTAGCAGGGGATCTGAGCGCAACCCAGAAGTGTTTGGCTTTGGGGGCCTTTGGTCGTTTGCTGCGATTGTTCAGGGTGGGTTGACTTGTGCTGACATTCCGATTCCTCAACGTAAACTTTCTTGTGCGCATTTTGTCCGGCAAAAGGTCTCGTGACTCTGGCATTTCGTAGTGCACGGAGCGAGGGAACTGACTTCCATGTTGCATGGGTCACATTGCTAGATAGAATCTAACGCACATCAAGCCACCGTGCGCTATCGAGAAGTCTGTTGCGACTTGAATCCTCAATGTTCTTCCTGGCCTGGGATCGAATTGTTGTCTGCCGCCGTTTTTGGCAATCGCCAAATTAAATTGCCAGCAATCGCAGGACCACGTGCTGGTGCCCACCCTCACGATGGTTGTCCAGACCCCAAGTGCGTAAAGCAGTTGTTTGGCGGCGCGTCGAGCACTGCACCATTTGAACATGTTGTGCCTGTGTGGCTGGAGTCGTGTCATCTTGCGCATCTTTTTCTCGGCGATTCCTGGCATGTAAGGGTTTTTGTCTTACGCCCTGGAATTACGCCGCCCACTGGGAAATGACCCCATGGGTGTATTTTCAGGGTGTAATACAACAACCAGTAGATGGCAGATTTTGTGCGACTGGGATAGCTTGGGATGCCCAGGCCGTCGCCAACATGGTGAAGATGGTGGGCGCCAAGCCCGTCTACTGTGACTGCGCCGAGGGCTCCGTGAATCCGGGCGTTGCCGAGCTGAAACAGAAGGCGACGCCAAGGACGAAAGCGGTCATCGTGTGTCACACTTACGGAGACCTGGCTGCAGTGCTCAACATCCTGACCCCAATGGTTTTATTAGCTATGCGCATTTCATGATCGGGGTATGTGGGTCAGATCGTCAGTTGTTGGGCGTGTGGAGAGAACACTTCTGACCAGCGTGAGTTTTCAAAGAGCTGAGGTATTGCTTGCCGCGACATCGCCGCCATCAGCGAGCTTTGCAAAGAGAAGGGATGGTGGTTGGTGGAGGACTTGCGATCCAAGTCGCGTTTTTCCTGCTGCTCGAGTGCAAGACGGTTAGGACATTTGCGAAGCCATGGGCACCAAAGCAGACACCGGAGAATTGGTGGGGACCTTCGGCGACTTTGCGGTGACATCGCAACTCAGCGATCACAGTGGCTTTGCCTTTGGATACGCACGACGTGTTGGTTGATGGTGTCGAAAAACAGTGTGGCGCAAAAAGGGGCAAGGGGAGAGAGCCAGGGCCCTTCGGAATGAGACTCGAGTTGTTAGTTTCACGCTCTAAAGAAACATCAGTTGTTTCCTTGAGTCAATGCAGCAAGCTTGATACAGCAATTTTCAGATGTTGATTCGCTGGTGGTATGCATCACATGCCACATGCCATGATTTGGAGGCTGTACGCCAACAAGCCCATCACAGCCGGAGATGGCGGCTGGGTGCATGCAAAAGATCAGAAGCATCATGACCGCCTCAAGTCGCTCATCAATCACGGCTTTGTCTCTTGGCCTGCAGGCTAGTGATTGCGCAGTGGGGCAAGCAGCGCGGGGCTGAGGATCCGGCGTATCACTTTCTCCACTTTGAGACTGCCCCCAATGCCAAGATGAATGGCCTGGGCGCAGCCTTTGTTTGCTCTCAGGCGGGATCCCCAGATCCTGGTTTGGGTTTGGGGCGAGGTGATTCATACCATGAACAATTCAACTGCATGGGCATGGAGACTGCCTAAGTATGGCATATTTTGAGTCCTGCAAGGTGAAGATGCTTCCCAGACTGATGCAGCATAGAGGGCAGGTGGCGAACTGGTATCGAGAAGGATTGGCTGGAATTACCGAGCTGCGCTGCATCGAGCAGAGGCCGCGCTTCATATTGTATGGAGATTCTCTAGCGGTTTCAGGGAGAAAAAAAGACCCCCTCTCGTATTTTCCACAATGGCTCTCTTTGTTTCTCTCCATCTCACTCTCTTTTTGCCTGTCTCGTGCCCGTGATTTTTGGTGCACCATGGTCCGCGTGCAGCATGCCTGGCTGTGTTCCACGCAGGCAGATAGATGCTCCGTGGGTCTTTGGCGTGGAGACGAAAGACCGTCAAACTCGAGACAAGCTGCGGGATCATTTGGCGGCGAAGGGCATCGAGACAAGGAGATCGCTATGCAAGAATCAACGTGGAACAATTCCCTCCCAAGCATTGGCCAATTGTCTAGGGGTACCTTTCCCATTCTTTCCAGGCATCCTTCTTCCTACAAAACCACCCAAAACCCTGGCGAAACAGCTGCTTTTTGAAAAGAACGATTGTTGAAAAGAATGGGGAATCAACCCCTAGATGTTGTGTAAGTGTCCTATTCCTTGCTGATCGCACGGGCAAGCCAGGAACTACTTTTATCCACTTCATTTGGAGCCGGTCAACTTTTATGGTGATGACGTGGGTGTATACGATGTTGTTCTACCACGTGCTGAAAGCCTGGCTCAGGCACGGGGCTGCATGGCGCGACTTGTCCAATTGCAGGGAGGTCTCCTCCTTTCCTTGACAGGTTGGCTTCTACCTGCCAACTCACTCCTTCTTGGAACAGGGTGACGTGCAGTACATCTGTAGCTTGGACCGTATTCATGCTTTGCACATTGCGTCACATTCTGCAACGCCGTTGTTTTGCAGAGACCAGCTTAGAGCTGTCAGCGCAGTAACTCTGAAATAGCGATCCATTCATGTCTCACTCGACTTGAAGGTTCGATCCTGCGCTCGTTCTACCAAGCCGACTCGGCCGTGAGCGCGCCGCGGAAACATGGCTGGGTGGATGCGGAGAGATCCAAGCTCCTGACACCAAGCTAGTCCAAAGAGGCTTTGTCACGGATCCGAACGTTTGAAGAGAAGAAATGGTGCTCAACTTGTGCGCAGTGCTGTGGCACCTTGAAGGGGTACTTCGTAAGTGGTTAGTAAGCCTGTTTGTAACCCACTGAACGGAGACATATAACCATGGCATTTGTGGGTTTCTACCCAGTTTTCCACCATTGCTTTTGAGTGTTACCATGGTTACCACCACTTACCTGACGTGCCCTGCCCTTTAAGTAGACTGAAACCCAAAGGTGGTTCATGTGCCCTGCTTGGAGAACCCCTGGGTTTATGTCTATCTTGGGTCGTCCAAAGTGGACCCCTGGCGTTTTGCCGCCAGGTGGCGGCGCTGTGCTCCGCGCTGTCCCGGCGCTGCGAGCAGCAGGCGCAGGCGCAGCGGCAGCTGGAGGAGCAGCTTCGGGCCAGCGAGGCGGGCTGGGGTTCCGCCGGGCCGTCCGAGGTTGAAATGGTGGCTCAAAAATGGGGGTCCAACATGGGTTGCCCTGGACAGGCAGACAAAAATATGCGTAACCCCGGTTGCTTAATTTTGAGCCACACCCAACTGTTTGTCGTTTTGTCTCCACGAAAGGCCCGGCTTTTCGCCGTTTTGCAGCCCACATCCCCCAACCCGCCCCACCCCAACCCTCCCCCCCACCCAACCCCGCCCACCTACCCCCCCAACCCAGCCCACCTCCGTAGCAGGCAGAGGCCTCCGCGCTGCGGCGCGAGCTCGCGGAGCTGCGGTCGGGCGAGGCCCTGCGCGCCCAGCGTCTGGCTGCCCGCGAGGCGATTCTGGATGTGGCTGTGGCTCAAAAAACCGGTACCAAAATGGAACCCTGGTAAGTGAAACATGGACCAACACCTGCGAAACTCCTCCTGTTCAATTTTGAGCCACACCCATATGAGCAGATCATGGGTTACGATCACTGATAACATCAGCCGCATTAGCGCCTGAGATCTTCCACCGGAGGTGGCGGTTGACTCCTGGGAAGCTGGCAGACTGAAGGACGTTGGGCTTGGCCGAGGTGGGTGGTCCACCTCGGAACTGGCTCTTGAGTGAAGGGGGACGGGAGGGTTTTCTTGAGGATTAGGACGACTACAGGCCACGCTTGGGTGTGTCATTTGTTGTTTCTCTTTTGGGGTCAGGAATCCAAAATCACTTAATTGGTGGTTTGGATTGGTGGTTTGGGGATTGGAACCCCTGGTTCTTGTAGAGGGTGAATGGGAAGCCCCTCCCCAACCACCAAACAGCCGATTCGGCTCCAAAGCCACCAAGAGCAGGGTTGTGGGATCACTCGGGGTTTATCCCCACTGTGATACCAGGGAATGGTTTCCATTTCACTGACTATGGTTAAACTTTTCGGGGATCCGAAAACGGGCAGCGCTTATCCCAGCTTCGTGGGTTCCATACCGTGACCAGGAAGCAACCCATAGGAGCTGCCGAAGCTGAAGGCGGAGCTCAAAGAGCGCCTGGCCAGCCAGGAGGGATCGCTTGGGCGAGAGACTTGGGCGAGAGACTGCTCCGGATGGGTGTGTCGTGTGTTTGAGGCGATGCTTTTCAGGTTACTTTGAAGGGAAAGCCAGGGGGAAACAAGATTTTGGGCTCCCGTTTTTTTGTTTTTTAGTTTTTGGGGCCGCCCTGTTTGGACACGTACCCAAATGGGTAACCTCGATTCAGGCGGTGTCAAAGGAGCAGAAGCCAAGGTTCCTACTTGTGAGACATCCAGTCAGCCATTGAATCGTTGGTATGACTCCCCATGCGTATGAACTTTGAGTCAAATTGTGAGTATTGATGGGGGCTGTTCGGGGAAACTTGAGGATGACATTTGTCCTGTGCTAGTCAAAAGAGGGTGTGTGTGTGTATGTGTGGGTGTGGTATTGACATTCCAGAGCAGTGGGCCTCGCTTGGCCATTTGGGAAGTAAAAAGATCCACAGTTGGCCTTCCAGGCGGAAGCTCACTACCAGGAGCTGGAGCAGCAGGATCCTTGCATTCACTTTTTCAGAAGTCTTTTGCTTGCCATGGGCGAATGACTGGCCTGAAACGCACATGAAGTTCAGTACCAGCCGCCGAGCACGGTTTCCAACCTGTTGCCTAGGCTGAGTCTTCAGCTCTACTGTGGTTTGCTTTCATCTCTCGTGAATTGGCCAAGGGGAATCGATGATCCACGTTTCAGGCGCGCCGACGCTTGGCAACGGCCGAGAGAGCGTTCCATGAACAGGCGGGCTGCACTGATGCGGATGACGAAATCATCTCATTTCGATGAAGCTGCCCGTGGCCAACATCTGAGGCAAAGCCAAGCCATGAATATGGGAACAGGGCCACGCACAGAGAAGTTCTTGGGCACACCCAAAGCTCGAATTCCATGAGGGGAAGCAACTTGGATCGTAGGTGGAGCTTTTCGCAGGTCCGGGATTTGGAGACGGAGCTCAACGAGGCTCGCGCAGAGAATGCGGCCCTGGGCCGCAAGTGCTTCGAGAGCTACCAGGCGCTTGGTGTCACATGACACAAAACCGAGCACATGGGGGATGGGGGGGGGACACCCCTCCGCAAAAACGACTGGCGGTTTATGGTTTCCATTACCAACCTTGCCCAGTCTCCAGTGTTCCAGTGTTTAAGCGTTTACATCAACACCAAAACACACACCCGAATGCTTGGGCAGTTGTAGTTTGGCAGGTCACATTCCCAGAGGTGACTGACTCAAGGCTTTCGGCAGGTTCCCTGTTTTGCAACCGCACAAGTGGACTGAAGCAGACCTGGAAGGCAGCGAGTCAAACACAGCAAAGGAGAGGACGCCCGCGGAGATGTTCGTTGAGCGGACCCGTAGAAGCCAGACCTCAAGAACCTCAACAAAAATCCCACAGCACGACTTTGTTCCTTTCAGATGGGCCACTTCGTGGCCAAGGCGAAACAACATTATGTGCCAAACTAGGCTGACCCAAAAACTGAAACCCAGGTTAAAAGGGTACCCTCCAAAAAGGGCACACGTCCATGTATTTGTTTTCTGGTGGCTCGCTTCTTCTCACGTCCAAGTCCGCTTGAACGGGCAGGCAGCATTGCCGTGTGTGTGTGTGTGTGCCCGAAGGCAAGAGCCCAAGCTCAAGCTGCCTCGAGCCAGACTCAGCAGCAGGCGCAAATGCAGCACCAGGCTGGTGGTCAGCACGGGAGTCAGCTTCAAACAGGGGCAGAAAAGTCCAGTTGGCTGGTTTGGGCAGAGCGTCCACTCGCATTTGTTTTCTTATGAACAAATGCGAGTGAACCTTTTTGCCCATGAACCAATCGTCAATGGGTCTTGGAAACTCAAGCGCCAAAAGTGTTGCGTCACTTTGGTGCTCTTACACGCCGCATGGCCATGAACTCGTGGTGGGAACTCCTCAAAAGCGGCGGGTGGACATACGTCCTCACCTACACACTGTCATTTTGTAGCCTTTCTGGTGTGTTTGTTTTTCTGGCAAGCTGTTTTTCAAAGGCAATCAATGGGGACCCCCTGAGGCTTACCCGTTTTGGGGTTTCTGGCAGGAGCTGCACCAGCTGCGTGCGAACCAGACGCTGATGCAACAGGAGCCCTTCACTTCCGGCTTCACTTCCGGACGCGGAAGTGGCGTTGGATCTCCCATTTTTCTGGGACAAAATGTATTTTTCTGGATAATTCTTACCCTCAATGGACGAGATGCTTTTCTTATAGACGAGATCCCCGATTTTGGTTCCTGAGTCATGGTTCATGTTTGGAAGCAAGACGCGATGCCAAGGTACTAGTAGACTTAAATTCCAGGGGTGGTTGGTTTTCCCAGAAGGGACACCATTGTTACTCGAACCACGGAAAATCCTGGGTGGCAATTTGCGGTTGGCTCTTGGTTGCTTTTTTGCATCCTTGCGGTTTCTCCCGCGCCCGATCCGCCTGGTCCAACCTTGGCTCAGAGTCGGCCCTCTGGGGCCGCTGCTGTCGCGAATTTCGGGCGGCCCATGTGCAGCTCATGAGTGTGCAGGCCAGGGAGTCAGGCCAAAAAGTGGCAGAAGTCCAGACATCTCGAGCGCGTAGGCTGGATCGGGGGGAATCCCCCTGGACAGCAACATCCAGGAGACGTCTGGATGCCCAAGTGCCGAGAAGGGCCCAGGTGAGAAGTGTGGCTTGAAGCGGCAACGTGATGGTTGCACAAAGGTCAACACATGGGTGGAGAAGTACGCCCCTGGGTGGCCCTATGTCTACCTCCATGCTTTCTTAGAGAAAGCTAGCAAAGACACACACACACACAAACTACGAAATGAAAGGACTTGCGAAACTGGTTCCTAGACTGGAACCACAGAGAGCTCCAGTGAGCGGGTCTGGCACTCATTTTCAATTGACGGCCGAGGCTCGATGCCCTCACCGCGTCGAAGAACACGGATGCCATCCTCATTGGCTTGAGGCCGTGTGGGTGTTTCTTTTGCAGCTGCCCAGGTCCGGGCCGAAACAGAAAACAACAGGGGCTCAACATTCAAGTTTTTGCAAAGGCTCTTCTGCCGGCCCAGAAGAGCCAACCCTTTTTGGTTTCCCAAACAACCAGTGGTTGATACAATGTCTTTGAGGGGAAAAGGTTGCTTGGTGTACCTGGGCTTTGGGTGGGCACCTCCTCCCCCCCCACCCCCCCACCCCCCCACCCCCCAACCCCACAACACCCCAACCCCCCCCAACCCCCCAACCACCCCCCAACCACCCCCCAACCCGTAGCCTCCCCGCCACGCCGCACGCCGGAGGCTGGTCAGCTCCAAGGCGGAGCTGCTGGGCAACCACCTGCAGCTGGCGGAGGTGGTGGCGCGACACCTCGCCAGCCCCACCCCCGAGGCAGCTAGCTGTGAGCTGGGAGAGCTTGGGAGGGAGGGAACTGGGGATGGGCAGCCCATTTCAGGGTGAAGGGGAACCCAAAGGACAGTTATTTGATGCTGGGGTTTTTCCCCCATTTTCGGACAAGAGCAGAGGCTACTCTCTAGAATGGTTTCCACTACCCCCCCCAAACCACGACTCTCGGGGCTTCCTGGGATGTACAGCCACTACACAGCCACTCTTTAAAGGGTAAATATACCGTAGTATCCCCAAGTTTTCTCTGGGGGTATAGCGGTTTAGATCCGCCTGCACCGTGTGCTGCTTTGGCCGGCTGTTCGCTTGGCCGGTCACCTTGCGACAGGTGGTGGCCGCTTCCGCTCACGCGCTTGGCCGCCTTGGCAGGGACCTCGATATTTACGGTCGCTCAGGCAACTTTCACTCCATGGTTTCCCCGAAAAGGTATGGCATCTCACTCGAACTTTGTGCTGGGTGATCCATTTTTTGCAGCTTCATTCTTTTCCCCTTGTACCAAGATCACTTTGTATCAGTTGCGCCTTTTTTTTTTGGTTCGAAGCCCTTTGGCCGGCAGATGTTCTTGGGCAACTCTGACCCGTTTTGATGCCGAGGTGAAGCGGGCGCTCGGTATTCTGACCATGTGGCAGCGGTGATCCGCTGGCCCACGCCATTGGTGCGGCTGGCGGCTGTGGAGGTGGATCGCGTTTTGGGTGGATTGGTGATTGGGATTCTCATTCTGCTTGCAGGGGCCTTGAGCGTGGTGACAAGATGCCGGTAGTGGATGGCCTCTGGATTGTGCGGAGGCTCTTGGTCGATTTGGCCGGGCAGCGGGCAGGCCTGGTTGAATCTGCGCGCCACTGTAAGCAAACAGGTGAACCTGCACCACAGACTGGAAAAGGTGGGGCAGCTGGCAGCTGAAGAGAAATTCGTGAGTTGAAAACGTGGTGGACCCCCCTCCCCCCCCAAAAAAAAAGACAAGTCGGTTTTCTTTTGATGTTCCATTAAACCAAGGTGACCAGGGTACTCAGGGCACCCTCAAACAAAAAACATGCGTCAACCCTTCTGCGGCGAACTTGCCTACAAGAAATGCGCAAGATTCTGTTGTGCCCCAAATTTGTGGGATCACTCGGGGTTTATCCCCCACTTCTGTGATACAAGGGAATGTCCCCCTTTAAAATAGGGGGAAAATGTCTTCGGGAAGCCCTTTTCGTTGTCTCACGAATCGATTCGTGGATTCCATTTCGACAGCCCCGTGCCCCGTCAGCCGTCATGGCCCAAGTCGAACTCCGCGGCTGGGCCTGAGAGAGCCTCTTGGAGTAACTTGCGTGTTCGACGTCAGCGCCTTTTGGTTCCCAGCCATCTGGTTCCATAGCTTTTTAGCTTTCTAGGGTTTAGTGGTTGGGTGTTTATGGAATCCGCAAACACTTATCTAAACTTTTAGGGGATGTGAGGACAGCCCAAGGCATGTATTTGGTGCAAGCATGGCAGCCCCTGAGTTTCATCTTAAGCACCCTCACGCAAAAAGCCATGCGGGCTCAGGTGAATCAGAAGCATGTTTGATTTCACGAACCTGGACGACATCGAGGAGAATGTGGTGTGCTCAGCTAGCATGGCAGTCCGTCATGCGTCTCCAAACCCTGTTCGTGGGGCTCTTCTTCTTCAACGGGTGGGATTGCCTCAAGATCAGGCAAAGGATCTGAGCATTCTGCAGAGTAACGAATCTTCTTGCGGCAACATGTCCATGATTGAGTGAATACACCAACTGAGAACAGATACATCCCAGACGATCTTTGGATCAGCACCTGAAGATACGCGTGCCGAGGCTGCCACTCCTGAGTGGATGCGCCTTGACTGTCACAAGGAAGGGGGAGGATGAACTGTAGATCTGAAGTCAAGAGCTGGATGCTGAGAGAAGTTTTCTTCTTGAGACTACTGGATGATCTTCCCCTCCTGCCCAAGCCTGAACTACCCTAGTTCTTCACTCCGTGACAACTGAGCCTAGCTTTTCAAAGTCCTGGTGTTGCGACTTGGACTCTGCGGCCGCCCTTAAACAAAGAAATAATAGTTAAACACAAAGAAAAACCACGAAGCCAAAGCAGTGAGCCGCGCGCCACGACTGACCGACTCCCCGCGCCGCCGAGGAAGTGGCAGGGGGTGGCTCCGTGGCAGCGGGCGCCCGAGGAGCCTCTGCCCATCCTGGAGGAGCGCGAGGAGACCTTTGCCGCGCCGGCGATGGCCCAGGACGCACGGACGCACCCGAACGGGGATGGAAGCAAGGGAGAAGGAATCGGAAGGGAAACGGGAAGGGACAGAAACCCGGGTCCCCCCCAAAAAACAGATGAACGATTTTCGGGTTTGAGCCTACTGCAGGGGGCAGGAGGTATGTGAGGTAAGTGGGTAATAACCATGGTTAAAACCCACTTACCAGGGTTATAAGTCTCCTAAGTGGATTAGAAGGCATCTAGGAAACGCGCGAACCAAGTGACGCGGCAAAAGCGCCACCGCGGGTGGTCGGCCGCGCCCTGGAGGGCTGCCAGTCGTCGCCCATGAGCAGCAAGAGCAGCCGCTTGCCCGCCAGGTACTTCGCGCGCGCTCGCCCAAACTCCTGCGCGCTCAGTACAGCGCCTCGTCAATGGCCGCCATGTCGTACTTGGAGCGCGTCATCGCCTCGCGCAGCCGGCGGAACACCGCCAGACCTGGGTGTCCTGCGCCCGGAGGAGGTCCCAGGCACATCGAGCTCGGCGATTCTCTCAGGGCAGTCCCAAGGTTCCGGCGCAACGCGCGCAGGGCCCAGGCAATCATTTGGCAGCGCTCTGGGACGACGGCGATGGCAGCGCTCCGGAAGAGGAACTCCGCGGCGCGGCGGAGAGGCCTTTTTGCCTTTGCGATAGCGCACAGTGTCTGTTCGACGCAGCGATTTATTGGGGGGAGGGAAAGAAGGAGAAGACCCCAAAAACAAACAAGTTAGCGGAAAGGCCTGTTTAGTAGGAGCCACGGGCCAAAGTTACTGAAAATGCTTCCCATCTCCACGACGCTCTTCTCGGCGAAGGCTGGGTAGTGTCCGCGTGAACTCCTCCAGTGGATGAATTGGAGGCATTTTTTCTGTATTGACTTTGGAATAGCAACAGAGTAATGAAAGAGTATTAAAAACAAAAGAACTGGTAAAGCTAGATGGGGAAGCCACGGAAAGCGCATCCAATCCGTGTGCTGGAAGGAAGAGTCGAAGGGAAAACTGCGGAGTGAAAAGCGGCATGCAGTTGGATGGAGTCGCAGTTTGCGGATTCCGGGCTGGGTTGGATGTGAAAGAGGGGCCAAGCCGGCTTTCTTGATTTGTTTTTTGGCCATGGACAGTTTTGGATGTTCATGCAGACCATGCAGGCTCTTCTGAAGATTTGTTTTGCTATCGGCGCGGGCAGGAAGGTGTCCAAATCGTAGAAGCACCCTCCATGTGCTTGGCAATTCGCGCAATGTCAAAGATCAGCAGGTGAACTGATCACATGTATCAAAGAGAACAGCAATTGACCACGTTGAAGGCAGAAACCACAGATGCATCACGTGCTGTTCCCTTGACGCCTCTGACATGGCCAGCATAACACGTATTTGTGGAGGTGTTGGGATCCATGAAGTTTGTCCAGTCACAAAACCTAGTCTTATATCCGCTGGATACTTGACTCGACCTGCAATGTGGTTGGCCGTCCCTGCGTTTCTGTTTGGAAAGCAAGACAGAGGGTTGCGTGATGGAAGT